TCAGTCCTTCGCAGGAGGTAGGTTGAACTGCTGTTACTTTTACAACTACTTTCTTTCATTTTTGGCTGTTTCATCCTATTACAGCGCATGTTTGAAATGTTTATTTCGGGGTTTTACCAAACATTTGGTGCTTTGTAAGTGCTTTTTATGCCTTATGTGTCCAAAATATATGACAATAAAATCATTAGGCTAATATATCTTCAAATAAAGACTCTGCTTATATTAGACTGTATATAATTTCCTACAAATTATTATTATCACACAAATTCGGAGGAAGTGTTTCATTTTTTCCGACGTGACAGCTAAATTGGGGGCATTTTGAACCAATCACATGTAGCCCAGTCCGCATTCTCCCCCCAAAAAACTTCTCAAATATTTCTTTCCCAACGTTTCCCTGACTCACTTGTTGCTGTTTTCTGCATTTCCCTCATTTTTACTGCTTTTATTTCGAGCCATTTAACGCGTTAACCCTTTCAGAGCTCCGAGACCTCGCGTTTAGAGGCTTGTTAGGCGTGTAACTGCCGCTGATTGAAAGGCGCGGGGCATTAAATTCATTTGGTTAACTTTGTGCTTGACCTGGGAAAGTTTCCACTTAAGAGAGAGAGAAAGGTCTCCTTTCTTTGAGATGTCCTGGGTTTTTATCCCGCATTCATCAATCTCCGGACAGTCTCTTTTCCTCTCTTGGCAGCTATGGGGCTCCGGAGCTTTTCTCTTTCTCTCTCCTAAAAAGATTTGCTGTTCCTCGCATAATGCACCGTGAAGGCTAAATCTAATGCTATTCATTGCATGTCAACCATCTAATCGCCTTTTCATTTTTTGTTGCAGAAATTCCTGAGTCTTTTAAACAAGTCCTTTTTCATTCAGCGCAAATTTATTGCTACAAAGTTCTTAAAAGGATAATGAATTTCGAATTAGCCGTTTCTTTTCCAGTAAACTTTAATGAATATCACATCTGAAGCATGACAAATCACTGGACACTGGGCAGTAGAGGATCATTTAACCCCCGTTTGGCTGGGCTTTTTTTTTTTTTTTTTTTTTCCACCCCACTTTTTAAAAAAAAAAAATTGATTTTGACATTAAAGAGGCGCGCCATTTTTTCCCTTTCTTTCTCCTTTCTGGTGCGAATGAAAATGCTTTCCAAGGGGGTTTCTCTGGACAACAAAACTTTCAATTCAACCAGATAATCGAATTAAACGGAAGATAACGTGCAGCTTAATATTTCGTGACTAAAATACAATCCAGTCAATGTCTGCTTACAGGACGTTTTCAGCTTTCCCGGTTTGACATCCACTCACACTGCTCTGCAATACTTTGACCACAAACATCTAGATTCTCTGCTTTATCTGAGTTTATGTGGAGTTTCAGTTTTTTTAACGTCTATTTCAAAATCAGTTTGAAGACACAGTCACTAAACGGATCACATTGTGCAGACCTTGTTAGAATTAGAGTTTTCACTTAGCAAGATGACGTTTCTCTGTTTGCAGAGGTGCAGAAGTTGTCCAGCCTGGTGCTGCCCAGTGAGGTGGTCATCGCCCAAAGCTCGATCCCTGGAGAAGGTTTGGGCATTTTCACAAAGACCTGGATCAAAGCCGGAACCGAGATGGGCCCTTTCACAGGGAGGATTTTGTCCCCTGAAAACGTGGACCTGCTTAAGAATAACAATCTTATGTGGGAGGTGAGCTGAGACGCAAAAGTTTCTGATGCAGTCTAGAAATCATTTATTCAGCCCATGGCCTTTAATACACCACATACTTATATATGGGGCCTCTATCATCCTGATGCATGAAACCTTTCTAGCTTGCTTCTTGTGTTTTATTATTGTTGTCCTTGCTGTGTGCGCTCAGGTGTTCAATGAAGACGGCACGGTGCGTTATTTCATCGATGCCAGTCAGGAGGACCAACGCAGCTGGATGACCTACATAAAGTGTGCCCGGAACGAACAAGAGCAAAACCTGGAGGTGGTGCAGATCAGCAGCAGCATATTCTATAAGGCTGTGGAGGTGAAAACTTAAGCTATCATTTCTTACCAGAAGGCAGGGAACGCACCTTTTAGGTGCAGAATAACTTGAAGCTAAATGAATATGATGAAAACCCTGCTTTCATTTGAGTTTTTAAGCACTTTCAGTGAAAACAACATTGGTTCATTTTGGGTCTCTCTCATTTTCAATACAATAAGCATGTTTCTAGCAGCAGCTTACAAAAATAATAAGCCTATTGTGGAATTGCGCAGCCTGACTTTGGGATGTTATTGGCCAACCAAAATTAAATGTCCTTCAGAACAGCCCCGCCTGCTGGTCAAAATGAGAATGGAATCTGTGGTATCTATAGTGAAGCTGAATACGAGCACTAAAGCAGCAACTAGATGAAATCATACTGATTAACTGATCTTTGCTCTTTTTGTCCCTTATTTAGACCATCCCACCAGACCAGGAGCTTCTTGTCTGGTATGGAAACACCCACAACACATTCTTGGGAATCCCTGGAGTTCCTGGAACAGATGAAGATCACCAGAAGAAAACCAGGAATGGTGAGTCATTTTAGGGATACAAGGGCTCTTGGTTAATTTTTTTAATATGTCGGAAGTTTTTCTGTATGCCTCTGGGGAGCATCCCCCATCTGAGACAAACCTAAACTGAGAAAACTTCAACTCATGTCCCTCCCTTTTCTTCTCCTAGATGACTCCCATTCATGTGACGGCCTTTCCTCGTGCTCCCCCCCTTCTTCCATCACTACCGCGGGCCGCATGCGCTGCGTCATTTGCCACCGTGGCTTCAACTCCCGCAGCAACCTGCGCTCCCACATGCGCATACATACTCTGGACAAGCCCTTCGTCTGTCGCTTCTGCAACCGCCGCTTCAGCCAGTCGTCCACGCTCCGCAACCACGTCCGCCTGCACACCGGCGAGCGGCCCTATAAGTGCCACGTGTGTCAGAGCGCCTACTCCCAGCTGGCGGGCCTGAGGGCGCACCAGAAAAGCGCACGACACAAGCCGGTGGCCCCGGGAGCCGACGTGGCCTCCCAAGTGTCCCCTCCTCCCCCACAGATTACGAACATGCCTCACCAGCAACAGATGCCCCTGGTGCACCACATCCCTGCCATGGTGCTATGATGACAGAAACACGGAGAGACAGTCAGGTAGAACAACGTTGCACTTTAGATTAGAGCTGTAGTGGAGAAAGGAGCTCCGGCATGAGGAAACAAATGAGTTGTTGTGATAGTAAGGCATCTCACAAAGACATTTCAATTTGCTGCATTATTTGTATTCGTTGTTTCTTTGGCTATCATGTGGTCAAAGTTCCAGCAGAAGAATGTTTTAATTTTTTTATTTTGGAAGCTAAAATATAATGAAAAACTATTATTTGCAAGGCTTGACAATTTGTTATCAGTTCTTCTCTGCATAATCCTAAGAACTGAACAAGTGTCATATAGGCTACCACTAGAAATGTGAGACTAGACAGATAATTTCTAAATTTTGATTCATGTTTATTGTGCATCACATCTTCACCAGCTCAGGTAAAAAGGTCGTTCAGTCAGAGTACACTCAGTACAAACCACCAGTGTTCATAGTTTCAGCTGCATCGCTCCACACTGTAAACTGAAATTGTCACTTTAACCTTGTACAGACTGTATACTTTGGAGAGTTCTGTAATTGTAAAATTGTATTGTATTCTACTGTACATGTGAATGTAAATACATTTGTGCTTTCTTCTGTTCTAAATAAATGATATGATATGATATGACATGGTTTGAAACATTATCTGACACATTATACGTCACTATCCAGTATGGTGAATTTCATCAGCAGAGGTCTGCCTTTGTTAAACAAGAGCAAGCATTATAAACTGTAGAGAGAGTAAAATCCAGACCCGAGGTTGAGGACAGCCTCTCTGATTGTGAGACTGCATGGTGTTATGGTTACATATTTACTTAACTGTAGTTTTAGCAAAAGAAAAAAGACCTGAAGAATGTTTGAAATAGTGTCAAAGCTGATTTCATATTATATAGCATCACTGGGCCTTGTGAAGATTTTGCCCTTGGCTGCTCTGGTGTCCACTCACAGTCCAAACCCAGAAGGTGCTCTGGAATGTTGCATTAAGTGCATTGAAAAGTCTTAAATGTTGCAGGTGTGAATCCATTTTTCTGTTCATGAGTGTTAGCTCTGTGCTTGACCAGATTACTGAAAGGGCCTGATGGGCAAAGCCCCCACAAAACAACCACAAAGAGATGCAAAACTAAAATAAAAAAAGACGAAATGCCACATACTGCAGAAGTCTCTTTGAATCTGTGGCTTATGTTCTTATGTGAGAGAGTTAGGGGTGCTTTTTACATGTCTATGTCCATGCATGGGTCCATTGTCTCATCATTAGCCATTGTCTGTGATAGACTGACAACTTGCCCAGGGCATGCATGTATTAATTAGCACCCTGCCTTTGTATATAAGAAGTCATTTATCTCTAATTATTTCTGTCTTGATTTACTCAATCGATTTGCTCCTGCAGTTGTTTTGACTACCACATGATGGTGCCATATATTTAGGAAAAGAGTCTTACAAGAAAAATTAAGCTCCCAAAGGGACAGCATGAAGAAACTTTGATGACAGATAATCATGTGATCTTGAAAGACTTTTATTCAGTTTAATAGATGAATGTGCTCTGCTGACCAGGCTGCATTTTCATCATGAAAATTATTGAAGTAATTCACTGCTGCACTTGTCGGATGTCAGACATTATCCAACTTCCCAGCAGGGAGTTTTCAGACATGTCGTCATTATAACAACTGCAGAGCAACACAGATCAACCTGGAGCTTGTACCCAAGCTTCATGGGTAAATGACCAAGGAGGGGATGTGTGGATCCCTTCTGTTCATTCTGCTGGGTGGAAATGGGGAGGATTTTGAGTGAATGGTGTTTCATTGGTGGACGTTGTCCAAATATTTTGTCCTGCACAGTGGAGAAAACAAGAGAGTTGAGCAAACAGCAGTCACTTTTTCAAAATGGTGTTATTTAATACAGTGTTTAGCACCTTTATACTGGTCTAGTCATCCTGTTACTCTCCTGTCCTGTGAGGAGCCACAGCAGGAAACTATCCACCTAGCCACATTGGACAGAGCTGAAAAAAAACAGAGTGAAACACAAAGGAATTCTTCTTTTTTTCTGAGTGTTGTTTCAGCCATATGCTGCCAAGTCTTTTCTGCTGAGATAAAGGCTGTGGCAGGTAACCTGATGCCACCCCTATCAGGTTTATCACAATTTTGTTTTATACACTATCCAATGAAGCATTTTCATGATTTAAGTTTTTACTTCAAGACATTTGTGAAAAGAAAATTATTTTCCTTGTTTATAACACATGCTATATGCAAAATGTTTAAAACCTTTTTCAAATTTGTATGTATAAAAAAATTTTAATACTTACCAGAGAATATTAGTCACAGCATAACTCCACTGTAAATGTTATTGTTTATGAGTTAGTGATGTTGTCCAGTTCTGCTAGTCCCATGTACTGAAGTCAGTAGTATTTTGTATGTGCCACTGACACTACAAGCCAAGGACACAACGTTTTGAAGTCAGGCTCCAATACGTCACTGTCTGATGCCCACTGTGGTGTCATTGAACTGAGAGCCACCGGATATATAATGAATAGTATTATTTCATTAGTATAAAAACGAGTGATTAAAATGAGATATTTCCACTGACCAAACATAAGAAAACTGTGTATAAATATATGACAGGGTACTTTTCATACAAAAAATAATAATAATAACCAAAATACTTAAGTAATATATTAGTATATTAGTTAGTATATTATTCAAAGCATGTTTTTTGTTGTACAAATACACGTGCTTAAGTAGAAATCTGAGGTACTTTTTATTTCTTTTCTATACATTTCAAAGAGGAAGATTATTCTACTGTCCTGAATTAATACAAAATAATTTAGTTACTTTAGGCTACTTTGTAGATTAAAATAATGAATAAAATTACCCAGCAGTATATAAAGTAGTGAAAATTAGCCCCACCTTATTCATCTGCAACATTGACTGATGTACACATTAATGCATCACAACTTAAAATCAAGGAATATCAATTACCCTGATATAGGACAGTTTGCATAATAAGTAGATCTACTTTTCCTTTTGGTACTTTAAGCATATTTTTATGCTAATACTTTTGTACTTGTACTAAAGTGAAATTTTGAATTCATGACTTATCCTAGGCTACTCGTGTGTTATGGTTACTTAACTAAAATCGGAATTATTCTTCTGTTGGTTCTTTAGTATTTGGGCTATAATCCGACCTTTTCAAAAAAGAAACGCAAAAAAGACAACTAGAACCAGAAAACCTGATCCTTGTGATGCTTTTTTAAAAACAGACAAAGAGCTTGCGAATCTTGGTTCCACAAGATTCATTCATAATAAATAAATACTGAATCGATTGAGTTAGCCTTGCTGTAGCGAGAATGATTCTGTCATCTCTTAGTAGAGTCTTGTTGTTTCGCCGCTGCTAGAGGATTGTTGTAATTTTTCGAAGCTAGCATTTAGCGCTAGCTAGCTGTTTGATTTTCTCCTCAAACCATTTTGATCCAGCAGGTGGGTCACAGTTTATGTCAGTAACTTTGTACTGGGCCATGATTAACTCATGCTGCGAAAGCATTCATATATAAACGCAACTACTTGTGGAAAAAATTAAATGTGGGTAGGCGTAGCTAAAAGTTGACAGCAAATGTCAGCTAACAGGCAAGTTAATAAGTTAGCTTGCTTAACGTTAGCTTGATAGACATCTCTGCAAACTAAGATTTTAGGTCATTTTGACCTGCAAGCACATATAACGCCCGGTTATTATCAGACCTTTAGCTTGTTCAGGCTTTGTAATTCAGTAACGCTAGGGAGGCTAGACACTTTGCTTTCCGTTTATACACAAATATTACGTTGTAAATGTTACGCTCAGCGACCAGAATTTCCATGTTAGGTCATTTTACAAGACTTTGTTCAGCAAAGAAGAGCTGCGTAAAAATACTCTTGAGTTATATAAGGGTGCTTATTACTTTTTTATAGAGTGTAGTTCCTAATAATATGCGAGTGTTTTAGCTATGTTGTAATTGAGGGAACACCAAGCCAACACTTCACTGCTCCAGCAGCCACTTAGCAGAATCGTAATTTTTGTGATAACTATGAGAAAAATATGAGTTGCAGCCTTTGGGTTTATTGTCTGTTTATTGTCTGAGTACTTGGATGCACCGAAATGCCTACTAACATAATGATAGTATTTTTAATGTGATGCTCTGATAGCCCAGGAGCCCAGAGTGACCCGTAGAACTGTGCACCTTTGATTTTATTGTCTTTTATATTAAACGATAACAAATCATCATGGTATGCACCATTCCATATGTGGCATGTAGAGCAGCAGTGATTAGTCGATTAAATACTTAGTTTGATCAAAAGAGAATGAATCTGCAATTATTGTGATAATTGATTAATAGTTTCACTTATTTTTCAAACAAAATGCCACAATCATTTCTGATGTCTTTCACAAAAACATGTTAATTAGAGAGTCCAGTATTGGAAACTGTTTAAAAATGTTTAGGTGGGTTGTGTACTGTTGATTGAATAAAGCAAGATGTAAAACAGCACCTTGGGCTACTTAAGGGGAAACAGTATGTTTAGGATTTTTATTTGCTTTCATATAACATCATGCTCATGTACTGTATGCGTGTGCTGCCCAGGATGTTAGTATGGAGTGTGGCCAAGTTCTGCCAGACAGCCTGGTTTTGGAAATTTTCCTGCATCTGCCCTATGATGCTGTGCTGAGAGCTGGTCTGACCTGCAGACAGTGGCTGGCTGTTTCCAGAGATGAGTTCCTGTGGAAGGAGCTGTTCTACAGCTACTATCGTATCCCGCGCGCTGTACCCCGGCACCCTGGTAAGTCATTACAATCATACCTTTCACATGGGAATTCAGAGTCAGTTTCTGCAGTTATTTATCACATGTATGTGGATCTTTAGGCCAGTTGCAAATTTAAATAACTTTATATTTATCTTTGTGCAGCGGCTGTGTCATGGTACAGGGAGTTCAAGCGTCTGTTTGACTGTATCCCCTGTGTGGAGGTTCAGACACTGAGAGAGCACAGTGACCAAGTCCTCCACTTGGCATTTTCTCACAGGGGTCATCGGTTCTCCTCCTGCTCCAAAGACTGCACTGTTAAGGTAAGGATCAAAGCATTACTGGATCTTATTTTCTTATTTCCTACCAGCACAAAAAACTGATTGTATTCACCATTTGACTGACTTACTTAACAAAACATTAACAGCAAAACAGCTGTTGAAATCTGCCATAACTATTTTTTTTCTCTAGTCAACTTATCTACTATCTTACGCAGGGCAGAAAGCCAATGGATGCAAGTTTGTGCCTTCTTTATGTATATTTATTTATTTAAAATTATAGCTTTTCTTGATACTGATAGTAGGACTTAGAGATATAGGAAAGAAGTATAGGAAAAGGAAGAGGTGGGATGACATTTAATAAAAATATTTGTCTTGTAATCAAATCTCAGCAGATCCATCAGCAGCTGTCTTTCTCCTTATCATCCCCTGATTTATTTCCAAACATGTCTTCCTCCTCCTTGTGTGCAGCTGTGGGACACAGAACGGCCAGATGGTAATATCTCACTGGTGCACAGCACCAGCATGCGGCAATACAACTGGGGCTACACCCAGTTCTCCCAGTTCAATGCTGAAGACAGCCTGCTGCTCGTGTCTGGTGTTTACCTGGGCCCACACCACTCCTCCTCTGGGGAAATCGCTGTTATCAGTCTAGGTAGGAACTACACAATGGTCATGTGTCATCATCTTTTTGTTGAGGTCTCTTAAAGATTAGTATTTAAAAGTAAGTAGTTGTAGGAGTAGTAAGTAGTGATTTCTACATAGTTTACACACTAGAACTTTTCCTCCCACAAACAAAAGTTATCGTTACATGTGATAAGGAAGGATACAGCGCTGTTTTTTTCATAGCAATTTTGTGTACATGTACCTGCTGCTACTCTCCTCATTCTGTGTAACCTGACAGAAAATTACACACTGTTGTCACGTGTGAGGAACAAGCCGTACGATGTGTTTGGCTGCTGGCTGAATGAGACCCACCTGATCTCCGGGAACCTACACTGGATAGGCAATATGACGTCCTGCTCTGTGCTCTGGCTTAATAAAGCCTTCCAGGTGAAACCCAGTAAAACAGCTAAAGCTTGTTAGTCAGAGGTTTTCCTCACCAAGTGAAGATTTAGCAGCTACAGGAATAATATTTTTGGTTTGTACTGTGATGTGGATTTTTTTTGTTTTGTTTTTGAAGAACCTCTGAGCAGCTGCCCCCCACTGGTTTCTTTGCTCTATAGTTGCACTGAGCATTGACAGCACTATGTTTCAAGCTGGAATAATTTTTTTTACACAGTCTGAAAAAAACAGGCTTTTTGTTGAGTATTGAGTGAATTAGATTTAACATCCTGGGTATGATACAGTGGGTACGGAAAGTATTCAGACCCCCTTAAATTTTTTGCTCTTTGTTATATTGCAGCCATATGCTAAAATCATTTAAGTTCATTTTTTTCCTCATTAATGTACACACAGCACCCCATATTGACAGAAAAACACAGAATTTTTGACATTTTTGCAGATTTATTAAAAAAGAAAAACTGAAATATCACATGGTCATAAGTATTCAGACCCTTCGCTGTGACACTCATATATTTAACTTAGGTGCTGTCCATTTCTTCTGATCATCCCTGAGATGGTTCTACACCTTCATTTGAGTCCAGCTGTGTTTGATTATACTGACTGGACGTGATTAGGAAAGCCACACACCTGTCTAAGACCCTACAGCTCACAGTGCATGTCAGAGCAAATGAGAATCATGAGGTCAAAGGAACTGCCTGAAGAACTCAGAGACAGAATTGTGGCAAGGCACAGATCTGGCAAAGGTTACAAAAAAATTTCTGCTGCACTTAAGATTCCCCAAGAGCACAGTGGCCTCCATAATCCGTAAATGGAAGACGTTTGTATGGCAGAGTGGCCCGACGGAAGCCTCTCCTCAGTGCAAGACCCATGAAAGTCTGCATGGAGTTTGCTAAAAAACACCTGAAGGACTCCAAGATGGTGAGAAATAAGATTCTCTGGTCTGATGAGACCAAGATAGAACTTTTTGGCCTTAATTCTAAGCGGTATGTGTGGAGAAAACCAGGCACTGCTCATCACCTGTCCAATACAGTCCCAACAGTGAAGCATGGTGGTGGCAGCATCATGCTATGGGGGTGTTTTTCAGCTGCAGGGACAGGACGACTGGTTGCAATCGAGGGAAGGATGAATGCGGCCACGTACAGGGATATCCTGGATGAAAACCTTCTCCAGAGTGCTCAGGACCTCAGACTGGGCCGAAGGTTCACCTTCCAACAAGACAATGACCCTAAGCACGCAGCTAAAATAACGAAGGAGTGGCTTCACAACAACTCTGTGACTGTTCTTGAATGGTCCCGCCAGAGCCCTGACTTAAACCCAATTGAGCATCTCTGGAGAGACCTGAAAATGGCTGTCCACCAACGTTTACCATCCAACCTGACAGCACTGGAGAGGATCTGCAAGGAGGAATGGCAGAGGATCCCCAAATGCAGGTGTGAACTTGTTGCATCATTCCCAAAAAGACTCATGGCTGTATTAGCTCAAAAGGGTGCTTCTACTAAATACTGAGCAAAGGGTCTGAATACTTATGACCATGTGATATTTCAGTTTTTCTTTTTTAATAAATCTGCAAAAATGTCAAAAATTCTGTGTTTTTCTGTCAATATGGGGTGCTGTGTGTACATTAATGAGGAAAAAAATGAACTTAAATGATTTTAGCATATGGCTGCAATATAACAAAGAGTGAAAAATTTAAGGGGGTCTGAATACTTTCCGTACCCACTGTATATAGCATGTAAGACCATGTATTTCCAGGTCTGCATTGCTTGATCAAAGAAAATGTAAAATGAAAAATATTCCACATCTTCCACCACATCTTTATTCCCTTTCATATTTTCCTTTTGTCCAACAGGATGTTGAATCAGAGAACGTCAATGTGGTCAAGCGCCTTTTCAAGATCCAGAACATCAACGCCAGCACTATCCGCACAGTGATGGTCGCCCACTGCCGTCGTCATGACAACCCAGACTTGCTGCTGGACTATGAAGCCCAGTCTCAGGCTCAAAGGCAGAAAGGGCAGCAGCAGCAGCAGCACCAGCCCCTCCTCTTTGACCTGGGAACTTCCGGCAGTGAGGAAGAAGAGGAGGAGGAAGAGGAGTGTTACAGGGAAGCAAGGTGTCATGGCTTCTCCACTGCTCGCCTCCACCAGCCCACCATGTCTGGTCTGGATCACGTTATAAAGGTGAGCTAGGTGTAACATTCAGGCTTTTTGACCCATTTTTTTTTAAAAGTACTGCTCTTCATTCTGGCTTGTTTTTGTATTATGTACCTCACTGGTAGAGTCGTAAAAAGGCAGGATCCAGGGAGTTGGAGATTGAGACTCACGTGGCTGAGATGATGGGTAGAGCACATACGAAAGCACCGGATGACAGCCTCATCGAGGCGTCTGAATGCGGGGAAGGAGAGGATAAGACTTATTTACTCTTCACCACTGGCAGCCTTACATACTCCCCACACCAGATAGGTATGATTGTTTCCAATCTGCAGCAACAAACCGTGCGGATACCATGTATGCATAATGCAACAAACTAATGAAACACATTGCTGTCAGACATTTGTTCTCATATGGTAGCTGCTCTTCCTTTTCAGGCATTAAGCGGATCAAGCCCGACCAGATGACAACGTCTGAAGAAGAGCGGAGTTCGGATGAGTTTTTTGATTCCCTGGACCATGTCATTGATATACATGGACACATCATTGGTATGGGCCTTTCTCCAGACCACAGGTAAGTAATATAATATTGCTTTAATGTCTTAAATACACTATGTGCCCACATATTCAGTGACAAGACAAAGTGTGAAGATCTTCTGCATTAATTGGTCATAAAATGTGATCTGATTTCCATCTAAGTCATAAATATAGACAAACACAATGTGGTTAAGCTAGTAACGCACAAACAGTTACAATCTTTTTTTTTTTTGTCTTTATCAAACATGGCTAGTGCTGGTGGTAAACATAAGTGACCCCTTGGTCACTTTCATTTTCTCCCCTCCATATACTTTTGGGCATGTAGTGTAGGACCGCCCT